TAAAATATTATAAATCGAGATTATCGTGTCGACAAGTGTTACGCAGCAGCCTAGGTCCTTATTATTATTATCTTGCTGCCGTGCGTTCCGATGTAGGTATTTAGATGAGCTGAAGAGGTATGAGATAATATTATTATTAATGTAATGGGTATTATTTTTAATGTATCGTTTCCACGGGGCGAACAGCAATAATACCTCCAACCGAAATCCAACCTACCTCCAAGCGAATAGTATACACCACATCGGTCTATGTTGACTATATTATCGTTATTGTTTTCACGGTGAATCGTTATCCCTTAGGCTGCCGATGTGAACATCGATAATAATAATATAATATAATAATTATAATTTCGAATTTCGACTCTAAATACACAGATGACGCAACCCGAACATGATAACATTATTATTATTATTCGCCAAAGGTACGAGATATTTGTTCAAATTAAGCACGATAAAACCTTGTCTGACTGAATTTCGCCGAATTAACGTGGATGTTCGTTCGGTATTAAAAATTAATAGTTTTTCGTGCGATTCGTGACCGTTGATAGCCGACATTGGATGACCTAAAATGTTCATTATTGCCAAATATTATTTATTCATAATTAACTTATTATTAGGCAGAATTACGTGTAGATTTGAATGGAAACGTTAAATAATCAATACATAAGCCCAGAGAGTTATAATTGAATATTTTTTTATTTATGTATGTCAAAAGCCACATTTTTATTTACATTATTTCATTTTTTAATTTATTATTCGTATTTTGTTTAACATTAAGATATTATAGTATAATGATGAATCAGAGATGTCTAGACAAATTACTATAGTTGGTAGTTGTGCTGCAGGTTACTCATGATCATAAGTCATAACTATAGAAGAGGCGGTGCACATTTGTTTCATTCTTCATTTGAAATATTTTGTTTTCAAGGCAAGTCCAATATAGTAGGAAAGCAACATTTAAAATTATTTTAGTACATTTTGAAGAGGATTTTTAATTTAATATAATATAATATCTATAAGTAACTATTACTCAGTTAATGGAATTCAAACTTTTGTTCAAACTGTTTGGGGGCTATGGGCTATTCGTCCTACAACATTACGACACGTTATACAGAAATAATCATTATTAAAATAAATTAATAACTTTTAGATTCTAAGCGGAGCGAGGAATGTATTGATTTTACAATGATGTGTGTGTTTTTTTTTTGTCTGTCATCACGTTTTGGGGCAGTAAAAGTGCTTCGATTTTTTACTTCAGTACCTTCAGTTCGGTCAGAAATTGAACCTAGTTGGCACTTTGAGGTTAGGTTAGGTTAGGTCCCATATTTTTCTTAATAATTGCGATAAAAAAACTAAAAATTTAGGTAAAAACGGGAATTTTCACGCACAATCAATTTTCGACAAAATCGATTTTGGTTTTTGATGTAACTTTAAAATATATGACCATCGACACATGAAATTTTCACCGAATGTTTATATAAGTATGCTCTATTCACCATGCAATTTTCAAAAATGTTTGGCTCAAGTTGAAATATTTATAGGTATACGCCATTTTCGATCATTATTAGTTTTTTTAAAATTAATATCGATAAAAATGTATTTGTTGGGTAGAAAAGCTTGAMAATTTAATACAAGGCTCCTAAGATATTGTTACAATAGCAGTTGAAAAATAAAATAAATTCATAGTCACAACTTTTTACAACAAAATACGTAAAAATCACGAAAATTCGCAAATTATTTTAAGCTAAAAATGCATAAAAAAATTTCTCTTCAAATCTAAGATTTGAAAAATTAATACAAGATTTCTTACAAGTTTGCCAATCCTGAAAGTCAAATATTTTAATAGGTATTAATAATAAGTAGGTACCTAATAATCTATAATATATCCTAGACAGATAAACCATCTCCGCTCAAAATCGTTTTTCGTATACAATGATATAATATCATTGTATTCAAATTTAATTCCATCCATTACAGTAACCCACTTGTAACCTTCTGTACGCAGAGCGATATCCACTTTCCCGATATTTTTAAATTAATGTTTAGGTATTTTAAAAAAATCACGTATTTTTAGATATGGTTAAAAATGTTTGAATATGGGTTTAGCCGCATAAGCGCAAGTTAAGGAAGCTAGCCCCTCAAAATATGGCCATAGCACCCCCTAATAAAAAAATCTAGTACATACAATTTTAAAATGCTATATTATAAATATCTGCTTGTCTAATAATATATTTAGCCCTCCCTCAAGTCAAAAGTTAAAAATGCGCCAGTGGGTTAAGGTACTAAAAATATTAAATATGTACCTATTGTGTTAACTCTTAATTCTAAACAAACAATATTTGAGTTATTATTATTACCTATGTACATAACTCAACCGATTTTGATGATTATCCAGTATCCTAATATTATTTCAGAGTATGATAAATTAATTTTTGAACCCATCTCTGTTTTTTTTTTTTTTTTTTAAAGACCATTTGTTTTCGATCTTAGATAGTTAGATGTAACAACTTATTAACTATAATGTAGGTATGTACATTTTGATAAAATATAATATAAATATAATAATATGATAAAGTATGGAAATAAAATACTTTTATTTTTTTGTGAATTATAATAATTATAATAATTATAATTATAAGTATTGAACATAAATGAATAACATATGTCAGTAATATAATTTTTAAATATTTACTTGTAGATACCCTATGATAGTTTATCAACAATTCAAATACCTATTAGTTTTATTCTTATAATTAAATTTATTTAAATTCACTAATTTAATCGTTTATTTACGTTTTATAATTTTACATTAAATTGTTTTAAATTTACAACTATTTGGATCCCGGGGTTTTTTCAGTTTCATAGTAAAATATAATGATATGTATTATGAATATGAGACAGTTTTAAACTTTTAGTGTTATATATAAATTAAAATTTATTACAAACTACTTACTGCTATAAAAAAAAAAATATGTGAACTCTTAAACATCATTACGCACATTATTCGTGAGTAGAATACTACCTAAATATTACATATTATTCGATGAAATAAAAAATTCCCATTGGGAAATTGAAATGTAAGAATGTGGGCGAACACAATAATTTAATTACATAAAAAGAAAAAGTTTGTTTTTAATTTTTATATCGTACGGTCGATAACATAAATAATAATTATGCAGATGTTCACTTTTGTTTTGATTTAAATACGATATTCGTTGCCAGGTTTAAAAGCAAAGGCAATCGATCAACGACTGTTCTGTGGCAGTTTTTATTGCGTAACATTTATATGTTTATGTTCAATTTCTACTCCTACACGGCTACACGATCTCATCACAAATAAGTTACGTTACGAATGTAACTGTACATTAGCGAGATATGGGTTAACGAATGTTAAGATGTAAAATCGTCATTCCATGTACGCGTATATAAGTGGTTTTTAATGTTGGCATGAAAGTTTTATGGAAAAAAAAAATGTTTGTGACATAATAATATAATATATAACACAATGTCATCCCTCTACCGCTAATCTACCATCGAGAATTACAGCAGTTTACGGAGATATATACTTTTATGTATTTTATTTTTGCCTGTTAAATATTACTGTTGAACATTTATCATAGTTTTACTTGATTGAAATACTTAGTGGTCATTTTAAGAAAATACTTTTTTTTTACACTAATTTAAAACTATATTACTGGCATGGTCATTTTCGACCAAAAACGTACCCTTCCCTTTTCGGCCGATTCGACCAAATGTATGTAATAAATTTAAAATAAAATGTTAAAAATTATTTAAAATATAAGAATATCTATATGGTAATATTGTTTGTTGTGTAAATATGTCACAATATGTATAATATAATATAAAAAATAAAATAATGATATACAATTTTTGCCAATAATGTGTTAAAATATAATAAATAAAAATAATAAAATAATGAGTGTAAATTTTTATTTTAACATTTAAAACTATTTAATACAACACTCTAGATTCTACGACCTATGCTCTATATTACTCATAGGGCAGGTGTGTAAATCGTAAATGGAATGAAAACATTTCGTACACTGCAACGTGGCCCACCACATAAAAAAAAATGTACCATAAAAAAAAACATTTTGTACAAATTTTGCTGAGAAATTATGTATAACATAATAATATGTTTGCCAAATACCTATTTCATATATAGCTCGGAGCTGTTTTATATCACGTGTACTGACTGCTAGAATCGACCGGTGCCACCAGATCCCGGATGGGTGACCACTCGGTTTATTAATGGCAAATATTTACCACACATCATACACGTGTTTGAACCAATGGTGTCAACTGTAAACCYTAATATAGCTAATGGCAATAGTTTCCGGGATCGAGACGAATAAAAAAATTTTCATCAT